ACAGGCTTTACTGAAATTTACCTATTTTACTGAAGGCTTGCTGAATTACAGGCTTTACTGAAATTACCTATTTTTAGCTACATTTATTAGAAATCCAGTAATCTTGTGCACAGAGTGAATAACTTTCAGTTGAGAAAGTTGTTAAAGTACTTGAGTCTGCAAATGATAGTTGTTTAAAAAATTGATGTGTCATTTTCCGTTTTCAGCTAGTGGGTTTCTCTATTTTTGCCGTAATTTTGGAAGTAATTTGACTATGATTTTGTTCTTTTGACAAATCGTTCAGTATAAAATTGGTCTTATCTTGCATTTCTTCAACAAAAAATCGCGAATTTCGTTGGGAAAAACCTTTTAGGCTGCTTTGTGAATGACTAAAACCAAATTTTATTTTATCGTTCATCTATTGCTAAAATTTCGCTCTAAAATTGCAAATTTCACTTCATCATTCAAAATTGATTTTTTCAGTAGACTTAGATTTTTGGGAGGCTTTTCATGTTTTTAAAAGCAATGCATCCGTAGCTAATGACTTTACTTTGTAACTATTTTTCTCAAGTATAAAACCTTTTACCTTTGAACTACTCCACCAGATGTAAACACTCGCTTTCTTCTAAGGGTTTTGATAATACAATGCTGTCTTTTTCTCGTTTAATTTCATTGGTTTTCTTTCTTACAAAGATAGAACCCGCTGGAAGCAAAGTTGTTAATATCAAACAAGCATTAGATGAACAAATATTTCTTCTTAAAAGATTTTAATAAAGGGGAAAAATATTTAAGTTTTCATGTGCTTGACCTTAGTCACAATTTGCTTTTGTTAGGTTTCACGGACTCTTAGAGGGTTTTGCCCTATATGCATATTATATTTAAATAAAAATCTATGGTATGTAATTTTTTCATACTATTCATTTTTATGTGTAAGTGTATAAAGTAAAAGAATAACATTAATAAAAAAAATATTTGCATGTTTATTAGTAAATCTTACTTTTCATTTAGGTTCAAAATTTTAGTGACGCTTGTCGTAAAAAAACAATAATTACTTATCGAGGAAGAAGAATTGTTCATTGTTTTTACCTCTTATTTTTACATAAAATATTAAATTTTTATATACTCCGTAATCATAGAGCACTACAAATATTTGTAAGCAATTATAAAAATTTTTCTTACAATAATGTACAAAAGGAAGTATTAAAAAATATACCAGCGCTTTATTTGCGGATATCACTGAAATGAAAAATAAAGGGTGTTTCAGAAGAAGTTATAGTAAATACGCGTAAATAAAAAGTCGTGATTAGCACTTAGAAAAAAACAACTATTCAACGGAGAGAGAACTTCTGCCTTCCACTTGTTTGTTGTGGAGAAATGTGTGGATAAATTTGGCAAATAGACTTGTGATGATGAAGAAAAAATATCCTTTGATTTTTCTTTATATAGTATTATTAATTTACGTCTTTTGTAAAAATTTATTACCGTGAAATTCAAGTGTCCATTGTAAAAAGTCCCTGCGGACAAAATATGCTGAAATCTCTTTAAAATCATAACTCAAATGCATAAACTAACTCTATATTGTCTCGAAAGGACCCTAGAGTGTCCCGAAAATAATTGATGATTTGAAAAATTAACATTCTATCATTTAAATATTTCAGTCGGAATGGTTTAACAAGCAACAGAAAACTTTTATTTAAATTTTTTTCAGCCTGCTATCGGTTGACTAACGTCGGTGAGAATGAATATTTCTGGTTTCCTATCTAGCAAAAAATAGCGAAAATATTTTCGAGATACCCGGTTGTTCTAATTTAGAGACATGTATTGAATTCTTTTTTTTTTTTTTATATTTTAAAAATGATAGTGGGAATAATGTATAATTTTATTTTACTCTTATCCACGGACTATCTCTCTGGTAAAAACGCTGTCATTGTTAGAACTTTTTTTTCATCCCACTTTTTGTAAGATGGCTAACTTGAACTAAGACTATATATATCAATACTCTTATTTCTTCTTAGAAAATTCACGGAAGAACTTATCCACATTTTCATTTCCTGAGGAAAATCTGAAAAATGCAGTTGATTTTTATTTAATTATGTGTTATTATTGGATAAATTGAAACAGTAGTAAGTTTACCGGAAAGTTTTAATTGAATCAGGGCTAAATTTCGTGATTTTCTGATCTAGGAAAAGAAAATATTTTGAGTTTGTTCTACCATGTCGTAGGGTCATTTGTTCCTGTTGAAGAAATGATGAACAGAGAAAGAAAATAATGGCAAAAAGGGAGTATGCGAAAGTTAAACAAGAGATTTCCATCTAAAGATTAAATATTCAGCAAAATATAACTCCTTGCCACAACTAAAGGAAAAAAAATAAATTCAGAAACGAAGTGTACATAGTGACTGTTGACCTCCGTAGATCATAATCCCAGCAGGTCACTACTAGTCTTCTTTTTTTTTTTCTTCAGGTAAAGTCATTATGATTTTGAGGTAAGGTCACTTTTGCATGCAAAGTAACTTTTTTAGTAAAATAGTCGCAATTTTTTTCACGAGCACTGAAAAATTGTCGAAAACTGACTAATTTTTATAGAATTAAAAGTAATGGATGGCTTAAAGATGTTTAATAATGATCCTGTTAGTGCTTCTGTAACTAAAGCGCTAATTAAAATTGGTTCACAATGCACATCACAGTTATAAAATGTTCAGCGAAGAACAAAAAATTTAATTATTAAAGAACACTTTATTAAAAAGAACTGCGGAAACAGAAGAAAATACAATTATAAAGAAGGTAAAAACAGACATTCAAAACATAACATCGGAGTAGAAAGCAACTATAAAAAAAATTAAATAAAAACCTATTTCGGGAAACTAATGAAAGGTTAAAAAGTGCAATCTCAAAAAGTAATTTTAAAGAAGTCAACTTAACTGAAGAAATGATGGCTGATGTTTGTCGTCGCGTAAGTCAAAGGAAGCAGAACTCAAAGGAAATCTTTAAAAAGCTGTGGACGAAAAAAAACGTACTGTATTACTAAATTAATAAAATTAATTAAGATGCTATCGAAAAAGACAAAAATTTTGCAAGAAATAATAATCTCTGTCAATTTATTTATGCTTTTAAGTTCTAATTCCTCATACTGTCAGCATTTAAGGAAATGTTAAGTCCACCAAACTTTTTTAATTGACTGTTGCAATTTTAGTTCAAAACTTTCAGTAATTGTTTTTATAATAAAAGAAAATCAGTTATCAAATCAAAATATACTAAACGTAACTTTAGAAAAATTCTGTATACTAAATTTTTTTCTAATTTTTATTATTCCTTATTCAATAATTATATTTTAAGATTTTTATCTTGGGCAAGAACAAAATTTCTCATTGCCTAAATGCTGACGTATGTATATGGTCACTATTTAATTAAGTATGGTATTAAGATAAAGAAATTGTCGAAAACTGTAAAAGCCTGTGAAAATCTATGCCAAAGCGAGTGAAACTAGTTTTAAATTCGAATGGAGGGCATATTAAATATTAATTAAGAACAAAAACAATTAACATTCTCACATTCATTAAACTGTTATTTTTCAAAATAAGTGTTCCATTCAACTGCTACGCTTGATACTTTAACACGTCTTTGTAAGTCTAAGCGATTGAGAATGTGGTACTTAATAAATGCACTATACGCACATATTTCTATAAATTTCGTTCGTTATTCCTGGGGTCGATATTTTTTTTGAAATGATCCCGTCAGTTTAAAAGAACGGGACGAGTGCCCATCATACTAGTTTAAATGGTGGATGTCGGCTTTCACGTTCATTTTGAGGTTGACAGCCTATTTGGGTAGGGTCACACTCCTCTCGAGTCCTCTACGACCCTTCGTCACAATTCGCTTCTTCTCAAAAGAGATCTCTTTTTCAAGTTAAACATTTTTCTTTTTAAAGTGAGAAACAACATTTGGCTGTTAAGCCTTCTTCATTCTTCTTTTTCTCTCTTAAATCCTCTCCTTATCAAATTATTTTATTATTCTTTAACAGAAATGGTCTTCGAGGACTATAAAACTTCGAAAATGTTTTTTTTTTTTTAAATTTTGATTATTTAATTGTATGTAAATATTCTAAAAACTTTTTTTTTGTGTCAGCTCTACACATACAAGGTAGATTATACGAATTTCAAATTTTTAAAGTTTTTGGACGCAAAGCTTAAAGCAAAACCTTTAAATAATCTCAAGATTTACAGTAAGAAATGGAAAAATGGAGCACCCCCAGCAAAATAAATGAAAATTCCACTTTTATAGGGAGAAGCTTAGAATTGAAAGGGTCAGTCTAAAAAAACGTAACTGGTTTTTGGTTTTATATTTAATAATGTTGGTAACACATTATGAAATATTTTTATGTTGGTTTGACCATAAATAAATCAAAATTAATAATTTGGCACTGATGGTTGGCACTTAATGTTTACACCCACACTCTTTTTTTTCCCCGTTAACTCTAATTTAATTCTAAGTTAACTCTAACTTAAATTTGTAGAAAATTTCGCAGTATTTCAAACTGGTAAAGGCAAGATGTCTTTGTTATTTATTTTTTTTGAAAACTCAAATATATAAGTTATAAAATAAATATTACAAATGATAAGTTTGTATTTTAATCATTCGTAATTTGATGGTTTGTTGTATGAATGAAAGCAAAGAATTACAATGCTATCTATATTTAATTTTAAAAATACATCTAATATTTTGTCACTTTCATCTGTCGCCAACGGTTAGAAAAATGACTAATATTGGATTATACTTAAAAAGGCACTGTACTTTGACTTCAGATTAAAATATGCATGCATATTTATGTTATTAATGTATTATAGCACACAGCATTACCTAGTTTCTTTTAAAAAGAAAAAGTTGAATATAAAAAAAAAATTTCTTTTGAAAAAAAAAACTAGCCTTGAAAAAAAAAACGATAGGCGTAAATGGGTTTAAAAGTGCAAATTATCGTCGATTTTTTTCAGAAGTGTCACAAAATATTCAAACAAACACACTGTCACTAAATTTTGCCAACTTTCTGATTTTGAACTACGTGACTTAAAATCAAAAATTAAAAACAAAAGGATAATAATTTTCCGCCAATAACCTGCTTTAAAAACATTTATCTTTTCTTCATCTTGGCGAAAACGTGCAAAAGATTTGGCGAGAAAAGGAATCTTCATAAAATAAGAAGATTTAAAAAAACTAATAAGCAAAAAAGTGAACAAACTAAATTGAACCATAGCGGCAAAGCAACCTTTGCAAAAGTCGCACGAATAGAGGGTGAGATGAGTCTCGCTTTTTTTCCGCCCTGAAGGTAAAAAAGAGGCATTTCAGTCTTCTAAGTACAATCAGCCAAGATTCGATGGGCATTCATCTACTTTACTTAACAGTGCTGATTGTTTTACATTCTGCTTTGTCACGGCCAGAAGAGGATGTAACTGAATCGTCTGCAAATGTGGGGGTTCCACCCCCTCTTCTCGCACCTCCTGACCCAGGTAAGCGATTTAGATTCAAATTAAAAAGGGGTTAATGATCGATTAATCAAAACGGATCACATTGTTTCCGGATGTGACCGTGAAATCAGTCGGTCAAGGTTGTTCATTGAGGCTTCGGGGCTCGTTCAATTGATTGTTTATACTTTTTTAATTTCTCTTGGAAACATAATTTTAAATTCTATTTGTTGGTTTATTATGTTAAGTTGGATTCATTGAAAGTACAAAAAGGTGAGCAATTTATTTATAGCCATTTGCTTACTTTTGTAGATTGTAATTGTGCAAGCATAGTCATATTTCTGAAAGTCCAATATTTTTTTTAAATGAGTAGTAATATTTTAAAAATTAAAACTTCAACCATATTTGAACTGTTCTCAAATGTATGCTGGTTACGTTGATTGAAAGGAATAAATCAAATATCGTTCAAATGAATAATTATTTTTATTTGTTTATCGAAGAATATTCTATTGGATTACTCAGGTTAAATATGTTAATAGCATACTCGCAAATTCATTTAAATTAATAAAACTTCGCTTGAAAAACAATTGTTTTTTTTCTTCTAAGAAAACGATTTTTAAATGATTTTTCAAACGAGTGCTTTAGTGATCTTTCTAATAAACCAAATCGCTTGTGTCCTTCAAAAATTGCCATGATATTGTTAACCACCCTTTTTGTAACTGTATAACTATTTTGAGTAAATAAATAGTTTGTAAATGGGATACCTGCAAGCAACGTAGTGTGGGTATCTCGAACCTAATTGGCTATTGAAACGTGGCATTTGTTTAAGTTAGAAACTGTTCTTTCCATTATATTTCGAGTAAACCAAGCCCGCCTAGTATCAATTCTCTTAAGTGACACATTCTATATTCTTTCACAAGGATTCTTTCACAAACATTTTAATTATTTAATCATATATTTCTTACTTAACACGAAGACAGGCAGGAAACCGTGTAGAACTTTAAAAAAATAACTATGTATCGAAGTTGCCAGGCACACAAAACCAAAATATATCACGGTTACAATAAAATTCTTAAATAAATTATAAATCTAATTTAAGTAAAAGACGTAGACGAGAAAGAATAATATTTCAGCAATTTCGATGTGCGATACAGCTCTGTATTTTATTAACTTAATGTTAATTAATACAACTTAACATTAACTTAATACAACTTAATATTAACTTAATGTTAATTAGCATTCTAACTTATGTGGAGAAACTTAATTCAACTTTGAAACAAATTTTGCTTATAAACGATCAGCTGACGCTGACGTCATAGGTGACATGTGTCGGTATCCGTGATCTTCTTCTTGAAGTGCAAGTACTCAACAGCAAATTTTCTAATTTTTTTCAAACGAGGTCCATATTTAAATAACTTGAAATGTTATTCGGCAAAGAAATCTTCAAAAGCGAAAACAAAAATTATTTTTCCTTTTCAATACTTTTCTTATATTGATTGTTAGAATATTTTGTACCGCAGAATTCAGTATTTTTAGCATAAAGACTATTAAGATAATTAAAAACAAAATTAAACGTAATTAGAATATAATTTGAAGACCTAACCACTCAACCTAACCACTCAAAACTTATCTATCAGAATTACTTATTTTATATATTTTGTTAACTTATAATGATATTAGAACAGTTATAGTTTTCAATTCTTTCTAAATTTTAATGTAAGGAAAAATTAGTAACTTTTTAGTTTCTAACTATTTCTTAGAAATTTAGCTTAAGTTAATGAAAGTAAATTAACCGCAGGGAACAGAGTTAAAGATTTTTTTATATAAAATTTTAAAATTAACTGAATATATTTAAAAATTTGGTGTACTTAAAAAATAAATATGGGAGAAAAAAAGAAAGAAAAAGGGAGAAAAAATCGTGGCATAATGTTGAAAATGGTTCAAAAACTTATTTCAATACAAACGCTTAAAAAAATTAATTACTTTTTGTCATCAATGATTACTGAAATTTTAACTATGGGAAAGCTAATACAGTGGTACACACTTCTATGAAATAAATTATGAAACTTAAATATATTATGATTGTACCTTACAAACTTCGTACTGGCCAAATTTATATGATAATTTTAACAGAACTTGTTGGAACATGATGTTTTTAAAAGTCATAAATTATTTTATAAATTATTTTCATGAATTCGTAATTGTTTTTAAAGGGTTCATGTACATGCTTAGAGAATATCTGTAATGTTATATCAAAATCGGAATGTTTGAGCAAGAATTTTATAGCAATGATTGTACAGTGAGCGAAAACAGGTTAATACCCAAAATAACTTTTGTTCTAATGATTGAATTTTCTCGTTAGAAGTGACAATGAAAGGGTTAAAACCTCTAACATCCATACAAAAACAAAATTCTGTATATTAAGGAATTGTTAGTGATAATTACTTAGAATATTTGAGATCAACATTTTGATTGGCTAACTTGACATTTAGTACGTACACATCCAATCATTCGAAGGAAGGTTATTTTAAGGTGATATCTTTTTTCTTTCTTTCTTTACGACGTACAATATACGATTTAGACAATGTACTATTATGTACAATATACGATTTAGACAAAATACGCAGTTACTTCGGTATTGTACTAGATGAGGTTTCTATTCAAATCTGTTCTGGTAAATAAAAGTAAATAATGAAAGAGGATTTTCCCGTATTTTAAATTTACACAATAGTTTGTGTAAATTTCAAATAAGGGCTGCGTAAATATAATCATATTGAATCAAAACTTTCAAAGTAACATGTAAATAACCCTATCAAATACTAAAATGGTCACATAAATAGAGAGATGTTAATGAAACATGCTTAGAAATATTGAATTCGCGTTTTTTATTTTAATATTTAACCAAATTATTATGATAATTTGGCTAGTAAAGTATCTTTACAAAAATCATCAGCAAGAAAACATTAAAAAAATGTCCAGTTACTACATTTGTATATGTGAATCAAATATTCTTCGATTTTCAACTGATTTAACCAAAACTCTAACAGCTTATTGCTAATAAGGTTTCCGTTTATTGGAGGATGTTTCTTCATTGCGTTCTCTTTGATTAATTACATGGTATTATTTTTATGAATTTATTTATCAAAAATTAAAAACCTAATAATAAAATACAAAGTACAATGAAAACTACTTTAGTAATGTACACAAATTTGTAAGATTTCAGTCAATGCAGTAAAAAGTCGAGAAAGCTGTCGGTGTGCCTACGAGAATGAAAAACATTATTTTGAGCAAAGAGTATTTAAGAGTATTTAATATTTGCCAAAGTTCATTTCTTTTAAATGACGTATCTTTCTCATTTCTAAGAGTTCAATGAAACAACGTTTTGAAGTGTAAATGTGCACAAAATAAAAGAAAGAACATTGAATAATTACCAGTATTGGATAATTAATAATTGGATTTTCAGGGACTAACATGTAATCTTAATGGTTCGAGGCATTGACTTTAAAAATGGTTTATTAGTACAGATAATATTTTAGGTTATAGAATAGACCTGAAAATTTAAATTTCTGTTAGTAACCAGTGGTCGGGGACTCTAATAGCTTAGTAGCCACTTTTTCCTCAAAACAAATGAGTTGGTGACCAATACCGATAGGTTCTAGTAATATAATAGCTTCTTCTTCTTCTTTTTTTTTTTTTTTGCTTGAATTAAATTATATTTTTTTAAATACAAATTCATATTAGAAGTAGTCTATGGCTATAAAAAAATTAGTTTAATAATAAAGATAATATAAATGTGTGAAAAAATTTAGTTCAACATACTGACCTGACTTCACCCTGCAAGGCAATTCGCCATAATACATTTTTTTAAAAAAAGAAGGTAAAAAAAAGTGACCAATTGCTTATTTAATTTAAGCCACCACTTTTTTTTGTTAACTCGACTCGCGGCGAGTGGTTATTTTCAGATCTAATGAAACAGAAAAACGTACTTTTTATTTGACTAAATATACTCTCTATTCGATGGACTTGAAACTGTCTTAGCCACGAGAGCTGTTCTCCGACCTTTGTGTGTTAATTTAGACTTTTTTTTTCCCTATTTCGCCATATCCTTAAAACGTTTTAATGAAATCACTAAATTTTTATACATAATTTTAAAATAAATTTTTTATTTGTGCAAAAATTTTTTTTATAATTTTTTATTATTTAAAATTAATAAGGATCAAAACAATCTGAAATCTAAAGCCCTCACAAACTCGGTACTTTCTTCATGCCTGGTTTTGTAACTTAAAATATATGAGCTATAATAAATTAGCATATTTTAAGTTCACCTCTCAGACCATGAACATAGCATGTTAGTACGTAAAAAATTCGACAGTTAGATGAAAAGTTATTTAGCTGTTATGTTTTTTTCTTCTTCTTTTCTTTTTTCTTTATACTACGCACTGCTGCAGAATTATGTAAACATAAAAAAGGGCTTTAGTAGAAAGCAAATAGATCTTTCTCATTAAAAAAAAAAACTTTTAATGAACCCTCAGTCACTTATTTTAGTATTCTGATATTTAGATTTGCTTCTTCAAAGATGTTACGGCCGATGGGGATGCTTTTCTATTGGGGAACCATTTCTTTCAATCTATCGTCCTGTCAATCTCTTTCCCTTGCATCCGGATGTGTTGGATGTAAAATTTTTCTTGAAGACCCGAAACAATCCCGATCTTTTTGAGAGATTACGTCCAGAAAGCAATGACAGTTTCACGCAACGGTATTTTGACCCGAAGCAGCAAGTGAAGTTTATCATTCACGGATACTTGGAGCATGCGCATCAGAAATGGATTCAGGTGAGCGAATTTTCTTTTCTTTTCTTTTTTCTTTCGTTTTTTGTCCTTGATCTTGTTTATTATGCATACTTCTTTAATAGACTATGTAAGTAAATATCTTGTCGCTCGATGAGATTGATTAAAAGGAAATAAAACTGTTATAAGTTTTTTTCTGAAATATAAACAGAATAATTTATATTTAGTTTAGAAAACCCGACTGTTTTTTTTTTTGTCTTATTGTTTTAACTTTTTTTTAAAAATTAAAATGCATTTAATTATTTTACAAATNTCTATCGTCCTGTCAATCTCTTTCCCTTGCATCCGGATGTGTTGGATGTAAAATTTTTCTTGAAGACCCGAAACAATCCCGATCTTTTTGAGAGATTACGTCCAGAAAGCAATGACAGTTTCACGCAACGGTATTTTGACCCGAAGCAGCAAGTGAAGTTTATCATTCACGGATACTTGGAGCATGCGCATCAGAAATGGATTCAGGTGAGCGAATTTTCTTTTTTTCTTCTTTCGTTTTTTGTCCTTCATCTTGTTTATTATGCATACTTCTTTAATAGACTATGTAAGTAAATATCTTGTCACTCGATGAGATTGATTAAAAGGAAATAAAATCACTCTAAATTCTTTTCTGAAATGTAAACAGAATAAATTAGATTTAGTTTAGAAAACCCGGTTGTTTTTTTATTTTTTTATTTTTTTTTTTGTCTCATTGTTTTAACATTTTTTTAAAAACTAAAATGCATTTAATTATTTTAAAAATTATCAAAAAACTTGTGTGTTCATTAATTGTATCGATAAATTGAAATGATTCGATACTGAACTGCGAAAAACGGAGCAATAAAGTGACTAAAAAATTAAAAAATGTTAAACCATTTTTATATTTTTATTTTTTTTAAAATTTATTTTCAAATTTAGATAGAGTACATTAAGTATTTTCTCGTTTTTGTCCTTGATCTTGTTTATGATGCATACTTCTTTAATAGACTATGTAGGTAAATATCTTGTCATTCGATGAGATTGATTAAAAGGTAAATAAAATCACTGTAAATTCTTTTCTGAAATGTAAACAGAATAAATTAGATTTAGTTTAGAAAACCCGACTGTTTTTTTTGTCTTATTGTTTTAACTTTTTTTAAAAAAAATTCAAATGCATTTAATTATTTTACAAATTATCGAAAAACTTATGTGTTCATTTATTGTATCTATAAATTGTCACGATTCGATATTGTATTGCGAAAAACGGAACATTAAAGTTACTAAAGAATAAAAAATGTTAAGTAGTTTTTTTTAAAAATAATTTTAGCTAGAGTTTTATGATTTTATTATTTTTAATATATTAAAAAATGACTATTGTTTGATGGGAAATTGACACATAAATTAATCGATATAATAAATTCACGCTGTCTGGCCTTAAACTGTATGTAAACAATGGAACATAATAGTTAATAAAGAATTTAAAAAAATGTTCACGTTAAGATGATTAATAGACTATGCAAGTAAATATTTTGTCACTTGATGAGATTGATTAAAAGGAAATAAAATCATTATAAATTCTTTTATGAAATATTAGTTGTATCTGAAACATTAGTTTGAAAATAAGGATTCATGCTTAAATAAACAAAAACGCAAGTAAGGTTAAATTTACATTTAAACTTAATTGATTTAACTTAATCAAAGGACAAAATAACGTATTGAACGAATAGTGATTTTGTTAGCGTGTTTTTGAATATAGATAGTAATGTACTTCATACTGAAAATAAAAAATTTTTTTATAACTATTTCCTTAAATTTCGCTTTATTAAATTTATAATACGGATTTGCGAATGCAGTCAATATAACTTTATTCGGCAGCTTCAAAAACACTTTTCTTAAAATTATTTTTGTATTTAATAATAACTTTGATTTTAGCAACATATTTAAATTTTTAAAAGTTTTATTTCAAAATGTTTCAAGAGCATTTGCGACAGTTAAATTTGAGTTATTGAATATTTAATGAAAATACGTACTTCCTTATAGATATCGAAATTTACTTAGTACAATAAGTAAATAAGACTGTAATATTAGATTTTAAAAAAAGTAAGCATTCCCACAATAGTCCATAATATGCCTTGGGGGTCAAGGAGGTTAAGGCTTATTCCATGAATACCAAACTACAATGATTCTTTTTTCTTTTTTTTTTAAATAACGATGAATCTATCACAGGATTTGATAATTCAATACGAAAAAGTAAAAGGCACTTTCGGCACTTAGCAATTGTTTAGAATAAGGTTAAGTATGTTAAGGCTACACAATTTCGGGATCAACGACATGATAGTGCGATATGATCAGCTTGATGCACCGACCACTTTTACTTTCCTGAGAAGTTGGTGCCATTAATCTTTTAGATGGGTGGGTTCCAAGCCATCTCCGGTCATCGAGCCCTTGCTCTTTACGCTTTGCAGCTCAGTGCCTTAATCACCGTGCCATTACGGCTCAATATTAGATTTAAGTGTAAAAAGATAAAAATCTATATTTTTCTTTCGTCTGTTTAGAAGAAATTTGGGTTCGCTAACGGATCCTTCACAAAATATCTTTTCATAAAAACGGACCCTTCACAAAATAATTTATCTTTTAATCGGACCCTTCACAAATTTGTTTATCTTCAATATTGTTTTGTTAATCGAATAAACCCTTCCCGGGGGAGCGGGGGGGAAGATGGTTCGAGACAAACTATGATTCCCTAAGTTTAAATTCCAAATGTAGTATTCTAAGAAAGTATTTCAACTTTTACAGACATCGTGCGCGCATTCTTATTAATATTAAATCATAATTTTTTTTTGTAAATAAATGATTGATCAATTTATATTTATTCATAAAATTAATTAATAAATATTATGTAAATAAAAATTAATTTCGGGCAGTTTTTTAAATAAAATATTATAAATTTTAGAATTCTTTAAGTTTACCTAATGCGTAACACATTAAAACTGATACATTACTAAGTTGTGTTATTTAAAATTTGTCAATTGAAATTATTAAAAATGTGAGTGATTTTGTTTCCATTATTCGTCCGAACTGAATGTTCTGTGTTGAGCAGAATAGGCTAAATACCAAATATTTGTATGTTGCATCTCTAATTTAGTAGCAGCAATTGTTGAGCAGAATCTAGTATTTATTTACACTTAAAAAACTTCGTGAAAAGGTTTTTTTTAGCAATTTTTGCAATAACAGGACCCTATTTGCACAAATTCACAAAAGCAAGACCCTGGTTGAAAGAATGTGACTTAACGCTTATTTATGTCCACAAATTATGAAAAGTTCTTTTCACAATTTTACAAAAACAGGACCTTTCACAAAATGTCTGGACAGACCCCTGTATATAGAAAACAGAAACTTATAAAGCGTTGTAAAATTAATTTTATTAATATAATAATTAATGAAGTTTGATATACATATTTTTTACAGTTGGAAGTACACAATTAAAATCAAAAATATTTATACCGCACAGTGAATATATACGGCTTATTTTCATAAGAATTTTGAGTACACTTGCCATTCCTGAAAATACAAAAATATCCCCTCTCCCGCAAAATATTTACGCAAATAATTGTGTTTTATTCCTGGTAAATTAATACATAATGTCCAGTTTTTATAAACAACCTTCATACAGCAGAAGAAAAGTATGCGGAAATTTTATGCAATTTATATTTTCAATTATATATTTCATTATTTAATAACTGAGAACTTATTTCATTCATAACATTATTTCATTCATAATAAGATTTGAGCAGTATACACAAACGTGGTAAGTATCTTTCTCTTTCATTTTTCTTATTGGTGCATTGTAAGATTATGTATTAAATTCTAACAAAATGTAATTACTCTAAATAACAAATTTCCTGGCGAATACGAAGTTGTTATAGGCTTAAGCTGTTTGAGGAAAAATTTTAAAATTATTGATTAATTCAAAGACAATTTTGACTTTTGACCCGGTGAGCCCATAAGGTTACAAAGTTAGTCTAAACCATAAAGTAACCAAAAAAAAATCATCAGATTTTAAAATGGATGGTTAAAATAATAACTAAAAAAAATAATATGTATAAATAAATTGAAAAAAAGAATCAGTCAAGCAAAACTGATTTTTCTAATTCTAACTCGAAAACAGTAATTATCTTCTTTTCCAACTGATAGATTATTAATTCAATAGCGTTTGTTAATTATTATTATTATTGTTTAGGATATGATCCGGGAATTGTTGACGAAAGATGATTTCAATGTTATATCAGTGGACTGGGTTTTTGGGGCTGCTCCTCCGTACACGCAAGCTGTAGCAAATGCTCGAATGGTAGGGGTCATTTTAGCTGACTTCATTGAAATTTTACAAGTAAGTATTTATTTTTTGATGAATCCAATAAATTATGAACTAAATCCGTGAACTTGCACCAATATTTCTAAAAGTAAATATGCATTGGCGTCTTTTTGTATCTGAATGCTTTATAGAATGTATGGCACAAATATATACCATTACATAAAAATAAGGTGTTTTTGAGGTTGATAATTGTAAAAAAATTTACCTAAGGTAAAAAAAAAGAGGTTATATTTTGCACCAAAAATAACCTCATCAATAAATCTTAATTTTAATCTCATATCTCAGCAATGCTTTTGGTTGAAATCGGACGAAATTATTCACACCTCAAATATACTTATTTACTTGATGCGTAGAAAAATAACCCATACAATTCAAAAATGGCTTCTCTAAGCTAGTTGCTCTAAGATAGATTTCTATCAACCTCTAAACAATTCAAAAATGACTTCTCTAAGCTAGTTGCTTTAAGATAGATTTCTATCAACCTCTAAACAATTCAAAAATGACTTCTCTAAGCTAGTTGCACTAAGATAGATTTCTATCAACCTCTAAACAATTCAAAAATGACTTCTCTAAGCTAGTTGCACTGAGATAGATTTCTATCAACCTCTAAACAACCTCAAGTATGTATAAAACAGCTTCATACACCTTGCTTATAAACCTTTGGAGGTTGATTAAGGTTGTTTTTGAAGTCAACTTAAACTAAACCTTAAATTAACCCAAACACAAAAATTTGAAATTAACTTCAAATTGTATGTAAGGATAATTCCTGTTTTGTGTTTTCATGCTTTGGAGAATTTAAACTTTTTTTAAAAAAATAAATAAATAAAATAAAATATAGCAAAAACATTGGATTGTTGCATTTTAAAACTGCTTAAACATCCAGACTACGTTTGGTTCACTTTTTTTTAATAAAGCAATCAAAAATAAAATTCGAAATCTTTTTATGTGATATAAACATTTTATAAAGAAATTAAAGCAGTCTTTTTTTAGCAATCCTTTTTAATGATCACGTTCTTATGGTATGAATTATACTGTTGTACAAATCTGTTACATCTTGCATCAGATTTGGAAAAAAAATGAAGTTTTATTTCTCAATTCTGTAAGTTTTATTTTTCAATGGTTATCTGCGCAAATCTTTGTCAATATATCGTGTCTATGCTCTGAGTATACCGTGAATAATCGGTTAGTTTTATTTGAAATATGAAGTTAAAATTTCAAAATTCAATAGGATGTGTACTCCATACCATTAACTTCCATGCACTTGATTGGTCACAGTTTAGGAGCCCATGTTGCTGGTTATGCTGGAGAAAGGTTAAAAAGACTTGGAAGAATTACAGGTACGTATTTTGAAATGATTTATTTTAAATATCCAAATTATATATATGAAAATGGATTCCGGGTTCAGAAACATTTGCTTTTCTTAAAGAAACTGAGAACTACTGTTGCATCAGTTCAGAAAGGAATTTCGTTTACACGTCTTTTAAAATTATTCGAATTTTTATTCTTAAATTATAAAACGCCATATTTTTTTTTTTTAATACTTTAAGGTTTTATTTTAAAATTAGCTGCCTATGCCACCCAGTTTGGTCTACTTTCAAAATTATCTTGTAGTTTGTCTGTGGATTAGCGAGAACTAGCAATACAATTATTTGATTATTTGCCACCTATAAAAATACAAGCTAAATCAAAATGGAACTAATTTATATCTAAAGTTGCAGTCTTGAGTAAATTATCTTTTTCCTATTCATTTCATATTGGTTTTAAAGCCCAATACATATTAATATATAAGTAAAGAATGAACGATTCTCTAACTATGCATAACTGTTTCAAAGTCAAGATACTAAAGTAGGAATGCATTTTTCTTATATATTTCGTAGAAAAATATTATTTTATTAATCGATCTGAATTTATTTTTATTTCATTAGGTAGTTTCAAAAATCAATATTAAATGTCAACTGAGAGGTAAAAGTATTAATAAAATTTTGGAGGAACAGATTTTACATTAGCTGTACAATATAATTAAATTTTACATGTAATTAACATTTTGAATTAAAAAAAACACATTCAGAATGTATTAAAGTATTAATTTTTGCTAAATTTTTCACCATTCAAGAATTAATATAATTTAATAAATAAAACGTGTAGGAAATTGTTAATAAATTAAATGCCTTATAAAATTAATTAGAAAATAAAAATATTATAACAAGTTATGCGTTAGTAATTAATCCATATTCTAATTTAATATAATTTTATAACTGGTGCTAAACAGTTAACCCAATTCTGACCTTACGACTACTAATGTTCAACTCCTTAGCCTTGTAATTTTAAACCCAACCCAGGAGACAAGGGAATTTTTGGATCAAGTATTTGGATAAACTCACCTTCGTGAAGGACTCTTTGATTGACTTAACTCACATTTACTTTACATGGAGAGAAAAACCACGAAAACCTACCACAGTTAGCCCAATGGTAAGGGGACTCTAACAACCATTTACCACTGAAGATATTTTACTCCAGCAATGTGGTCGGAGCGAGGCGGGAGCAAAATTCGTATCAACCAGCTACCGCTGTGATTCGAACATTGGACACCTCATTGAGAGACGCACCCTCTATTTAATGTCCGCGGAACCCAATGGTTCCATGGAAAGATCACTGGAGCACCGAAAGTTTATTTTTTTTTAAACCAAAAAGAAACTTGTTTTTATATTTATATCTAAACAATGAAGCATAATATAGTTGATATATTGGTTATTTTTATAAAATTATTTAAGTCAAATACCATTAAGAAAAGAAATAGCAAAATTTATGAAAACCTGCAGCAGTTCTCGTCGAACTTTTAAATTCAAAATAAAATGACCAAATTCAAGAAAAACGAATTATGTTTCTCTGATAACTAATCTCAACGTTTCTAAGATTTCTCTTCCGAAAATTATAATTCAGCTTATTTTGTTTATTTGCAGCTTATTAAAGGGCCGAAAATAAATTCAAAATTAGACTAGATATCACTCTAGGCATTCGAATTCAACTGATAGAGTTAAAATATTTTATTTTAAGAGTTTTTGATAAAGCGATTATTGAAAAAAATTTCATTCATCACCTTAAATATTATCAAAATAATGAGTAGTCTTTCTTTTGTTAGTCTGTCCATAGCTGTTATTTATATATTTACTAAATGTGTAGTGGAACTATTATATATAATATAAGTTCCACTAAAAGATGCTCTATCATTTAGATTTCCGTAGCCGTAAAAAATTGGGAACCACTGTTCAATAGATTTGAAATTTCTTCCTCTTTTCTTTTGACAGTATAATTTTTTTTTAACATTTGCTTTCAAATTTTGAGATGTTGTTTCAAAAAACTAATTAGACGCTATTTCATGGTGTCCTTAAGTCTTAAATAATGTTTACCGTCATGGTTACAGCGATGGCCGAGGAAAAAAATTCTTTTTCAAACCAGTAGAGCAAAAGCAATTTTGACACGCTACGCCGACAACTATTCTGAACGCGTTTTATCTTTGTGCGATCCTCTTCCTGTTCTGCAACTTAAATGAACAGTTTAAAAGAAGAAAATAAATCGTGCATTTTCAACTTTTTAGTTTGTGTTAACTTATTAAGGATAGTAAAGTACACATCTTATTATGGAGTTCTTTTCTTCTTCACGGATCTAACGAATTTCTTTCCTTCCATAAATAACATTTTTTCTTTTAACGACGTTCGTTATTAACTAGTTAAGGCAGATTAAGATTTAAAAAATGTAGTCAGTTAAAAGTTAAAAATGGCTAAATTTTCTTAAATTCAATAACAATTTGTGTTTCTGCTTAACTTTAAGATTTTGAACAGAACATCTTTAATTTTAATGTATGTGTTGCTGCTAAAAATCGCAGATTAAATAGGGTAAAGCGTTAAATTGCGAAATAAAGAATTTCAGCAGTTTACCTACGTAATGTGTGCTTTTACGGATTCCGTATCATTAAAATTAAAAGTCTCTCAATCTATCAGCTGAGAGTCGTGGTTGCTGAGGAGTTTGAGCGTTTGCCTTCCAATGAGGTGAACCGAATTCGAATACCAGCGATGCCTGATTGATACGAATTCCGCACCCAGATCACACTGACTACAGTGCTGACATTAAATATCCTCAGTGGTAGACGGATCATGGGTTAAAATACCTTTGCGGTCAGGCTAACCGTGGGAGGTCCTCATGATCTTCCTCTTCATGCAACGCAAATGCGGGTTAGTTCCATCAAAAAGTCCTACACGAAGGCAAATTTCTACCAAAACGTGATCCAGGAGTTCCCTTGTCTCCTGGATTGGATTCAAAATCACAAGGCTACGGAGTTGAACATTACTAGTCGTAAACCCAAAAAATTGGGTCGATGTGTGATTATAAAATAAAATCTATCAACCGGGAGCAGCTGTGGCTCAGGGGATAGACCCAGAGCGACCCGAACTTGAATCCCAGTGATGGATGGTTGTTACAATTCTGCTCCCGTCTCGCACCGACCACGGTGCTGACGTAATAATATCCTCAGTGGTAAATGGATCATGTGTTGGAATCCCCTTATGGTTGAGCTAACCGTAGCAGGTTTTCCTCACCATGTAACTTAAATTCTGGCTAGTACCCTCAAAAAGTCTTGCACGAAGGCTAGTTTCTCCCAATGTTTTATTCCAATGAATGCTGGCTTGTTTTTTGGGTTGGGTTCAAAATTTCTAGGGTTTATGGAGATAGATTCATGGAGTTGAGCATTGATAGTCGTAAACTCAAATTCGGCACAGATGTTCAATGACGGTTATAGAAAATTCTATTTATTAATGTGTTTATTGTTTGTAATAGCTGATTTTTTAAATAGCTGAAAATAAATAAATAACATTATGCTAATTTAAGCGAGCAAAAACGTTGCCAGCAAAGACCTTATTTTCACTTAAACGAGTGCCGAGTTGGTAATGTGTAGATTATCTAGGTAGTTTGCAGATTAACTACAATGTTAACCCATAGGCTAGCTAATTAGTACATTAGCTAGCTAATCAGTAGAATATCCGATTTTCGAAACATCAGATGCAAAATATGTATAATTATTCGGCTGTTTTAAAATCATCACCGTTGCCTTACAAGGCACCCATATTTCTTTACTTCCAATAATTTATTTGATATTTTTTTGATCGACAGCTATTAGCTCACTTAGCGTTGAGCTTAATTTCGGAAATTTTAATGCATAATTGCTAAATTTGCCAGTTTTATTATAAAGCATTTACAATGAATTCACAGTAGTGAAGACTTATGGGGGGGAAAAAGCAAAGTGAAGTGAAGGTTTATTAAAAAAATATGCAAAACGAATAAGTTAAAATTAAACTAGCTCCAGTTTTTTATTCAAAGCATCTGAAGAAAACAAGGCTCTTTGCTATAAATAACAGTAAATATAGGCTGATTTGAAAATTCTCTTCACATTATCTAATTAGACCAAGAGCATATAAGCTGATAGTAATAAGCTTAAAAATATCAGGTTCAATAACAAATAATGGAGACTTTTCCAATTATCGTTGTACATTGAGTAATGACGTTGACATTAACAGGAAAGCTGATTTTCCATTTAACCTATAAAAAATATACATTAGAACTAAAAGAAAAAAGTATAAAGGGAATTCGTAGGAACAAAAGGTATTCGTTATATAGAATAATCCAAGTGTATTTCATATGATGATTATCAGTGATGGTCTATATTTCAAATTATAGGTCTAGATCCTGCAGAACCATACTTCCAATACACATTGGAGGACGTCAGATTGGATCCAAGTGATGCTTATTTTGTAGATGTCATTCATACTGATGGTGGAAGTTTCATTACTGGAGGCTAGTTTTTCTCATTTTTTTAAAATTTTATTTGAATCACAGGAATAAAGCTAACTATTAAACTAATTCATATTTTAGAGGATAATTGGAAAGTTTATGAAAGAAGTATGCACAGTTTGCAAGAAATAAATGAATGAACCACCTTTAATAACATTTGATCTAATGATCGGATCTTTACTTTCTAGGACTCAATCTTAATGATTCGAGGGGGTGACCTCAAAATTAATTAGTGTAGACGATATTTTATGTTAAATCAGACACAAAAAACGTACTACTTCTGAATAAATACATCTTCTTTTCCGATGGATTATGATTTCTGAACCCCCAAATATAGAGGGTAGTCCCTATCTGTGAAATATAGTCCCAATAGTTTGACCAGGAGAACGGTCCTCAGTTTGGGACTCTTACTTTCTACGTATTTCACCCTATTTCGGGAACTTTTTCGGTGAATCGAACAATTGCACACAATTAAAAAATTCGTTTATTCAAAGATAATTTCATGCAAAATATAACTTTTAGTAAATATTTATTACTTTATTTAATAATAGTTGAAGGAATTTTGAGTTGTCGCAAAGTATACAATTTCTACATTTTAAAGAATGTAACTTTAATGAATTTATTTGAACCTCCAAAACTTTAAAACAATATTATGTAAGTTCGCTACAATGTTTTTGCATAGTTTGCAATTAGTAACAAATCTGTTGACACTGTCATTTTACAAAAATTACGAATTTTGAAATTAATATGATTTTTTAAAAGGCAAGCGAAGCTTAAGTGTTCCTTCACTAGTTAGTTTATCGTATACATAAATAAAAAAAATTGTTTTTTTTTTTTGCCGTATATAAAGGAGTTTTGTTTTGAGACATCATGATATCATCGTTATAAAAGAGCTAGAATAGTAGACATATTCTTAGAAAAGATCAATAGTTTTCTAGTTATTTGTCGATTTTTTTTCTTGTTAAATATTTCCTTCATTCACTTTTTAAATAATATGTTTGATATTATTAGAGATTAAATTTGATTAAGATTTCACTCTAAATTTGATACGGTTTCACTCTAAGCTGCAGTTTTTTTAAGCGATATTTCTTGTCTATTTTTTGTTGAAATTTGCGAGTTTAAGAAGGTTATATACAACTGGGGATCACATAAATGTTTCGAAAAGTTTCTGGAATAGTTAGGGCACATCAGCAGAAATAAAATTTCATAGGAACCCATGTCCGGAAATATCGCCATACGCCGAAAAGGGAGCTTCATCATATTGANTTTAAGTATATGCTCGTTTTCCTCTGAAACTTATTTTTGATGATCTTCTTTTATGCTTAATCTCAGGTTTATCCCGAGCTATCATCCAACAGTAGTCAGCGAACATGTTCTTGTCCCATCTACCTTGATATTAACGCTAAATATCTCTGATATCTTGATGGAACCTTTCCCCTATTCTTCGCTAACTGCTCCCAAATTTTCAGGGGAAAAGTCCACGTTTGAGTGAAGGAAATGCATTTTTACACTCATGGAGCAACCCAACGTTTTAAATTTCTCCAGCATTTTCATTACAATTTCCTTATAATCAGGATTCTTGTAATTACCCAGAAATTTACTGACATCTTTGAAAGCAACCCAAGCTTCTTTTTCCGTTTCTGTCATGTTAGTCTCAAATTCTTTATGCTTCATGAGTTTGCGGATATCTTGACCAACAACTATCCCTTCTTTCAACTTAGCTTGGGATAAACCTGGAAACGTTTTGCACAGGTATTTGAAACAACTGCCATCTTTTGGAACAGCCTTGACAGACTGCTTCATTACACCTAATTTTATATGTAGCGGTGGTAGCAATACTTTTTTCGGATCAACTAAGCTCTTTAGAATAACGTTCTTGGTGCCTGGGTCAAGATTTTGTCTTTTCGGCCATTCTTTTGTGACCCAATGTTGAGTCTTGTCACGGCTGTCCCACTCACAAATGAAACATGGGTACTTTATAAATCCCCCTTGTTAACCAAGAAGCATGGTGATAACTTTCAAATCACCGCAAATGATCCAACTGTGGTCGATTTATTTTATTTTGTTCAGGACGAGAGCCAGATTTAGATATTAGTCTTTGATTTTTCCGGTTATGCCCATGAGCATGGCAGGAGCAAAAATAACAATCATCAAAGTGGTTTTGGGGCTCTCTCCACGTCATAGGAATTCCAAATCGTAAATCAGTCTTCTTTCCTTGATGCCATAAGCGTAGATCATTGAGACACGGCACACAAACTTTATGAGGTGCCCAAGATTTGTCCTGATCTCCGAGTTTCATGTCAAAATATGCGAGATAAAGTTGTCTTACATAGTCTGTAATGCTTCTCATGCGATTTTTAACTACACTATATTCGCCGCATGTATAACAAAAGTCATCTGGGAAATTTTCACAATGTCTTGAACTCAAAGCCATGTTTCACGAAACGCACAGAAAAAAGCAAACTTTAAAATGACTCCCTATAACGCTTGCTTTTGTTTCTGAGAGATCAACGGACCTGGATAAGGATTCTCGCGACGCTATTGGTAGAGAGAGATTGATGTAGAGAGAGGGACGGTGACATGAAATAGTGATAGAGGGGTACTTTTGTAGATTTGACCAAAGTAGAATGCTGGTCAGTCAAGAAGGGTAGAAATTGAAAAATGAAATTTTTTTATGGTAAATGTTCATAAAAATTCCAGTAAAATTGAATTTTTCTAAAAAACGTGATGTGATGGACATGTTTCATTATTATTTTCCATTACAGCACCAAAAAATACATTAAGTTCAGCTATCAGACCCCTTGTATTTTTTTCATCGCAGGCCTTGATATTATTAGAGATCTTAAATTTGATTAAGATTTCACTCTAAATTTGATTCGGTTTCATTCTAAGCTGCAGTTTTTTTTAAAGCGACATTTCTAGTCTATTTTTTGTTGAAATTTGCGAGTTTAAGAAGGTTATATATAACTGAGGATCACATAAATGTTTCGAAAAATTTCTGGAATAGTTAGGGCACATTTGCAGGATTAAAATTACATAGAAACCCATGTCCGAAAATATCATCATACACCGATAGGGAAGCTTCTCCATAATGAATTATTTGTTAGTGTGCCTCTGAATTGGTCATAATGGAAAATCGCATCTAGCCGCATATGACGATATTATCTTCCTTTGCAGCGATATTATGAGTTCCTATGCAGTTTAATCCTGATAATGTTCTCTAACACTAGAAGTTTGTTGCAACATTCATGTGACACTCTGTTAGATACAACGTTTTTAAACTTGTACATTTCGACAAAAAATTGAGTAAACATAAACAGATAAAGCTTTAGATTTTTTTTAAAAATCTATAGCTTTAGGAGCAAAACTAATTTCGGATATGAAATCCCTACACCCGAATTAGTCAAGATTAAGTATTTGTGTAAATGCAACAAAATTTTTGTTTCTTAGTGTTATCGTTTAAATTTGCCAAAATCTTAACCTAATATGGTGCTTATTTGAACTATATTATCGTACTTCCCAAATTTGATTACACAATTCTATGGTTCAACTTGTGCGGAAACATGGTTCGATTTTAATACCTTAATAAAGTTGCAGATGTAGTGCCACAGCTAACAGAAATAAGTTAAAGCTTAAGTTCTTTTTAATCATGTTGCAACGTAATTTTGGAACGTGTACACATTTTATGAGAGCGTATTATTTTAACGTAATAAGCCAGAGGTTGTGAAAGCATTAAATATTGACAATTTATTATTCTTTTGGCTCAGATGGGACATCAGTGACTCTCTTATATTTTTTTCTGACCCTCCAAATGCAAGTAAAAATATATTTTGGTAATATTTAATTATTAAAAAAAACAATTTATTACTTAATAAAAAATATGTTAGATTCAGGGCTCGAAAAACCACCTGTCCGCTCGTCCTCGGCGGTCAAAAATTCCCCGCGGGCAACGAACTTCTCGTTAATGTTCATGATACATTTTCAATTTTTGTTTTGTTTAGCAATGAACTTACAAAAAACACATTACGTACTGATCTTAAACAAGAAGCGTTAAACGCAATTATGAACATCAGCCTAAATGGAAAACCCTTTTCAGATTTCTTTCCAGAAACCTCTGTAAATCATTGGCTTGATTGTGGAACTGGCAAATGTCATATTTGATTCATTTAAAAAACGTAGTACCCTCGGATAAATTGACATTCCAGATAACTTGATCTTTGTCATTTAAATTATTTCTTAAAGGAAATATTAGGTTACTATTAGTAACCTAGTATTTCTTTTATTACTGTATAATGTAATCCTAGTATTTGTAATCTTAGTAACTACTAATTCATTGTGCAATTTATATAAATGCTTGTAATAAGTAAGAGAAAATTATATTTTTATTTATATAGAAGCTACAGGTTAGTTTTAAAGGAGGACGGGTACATTGTTGGACCGGCCGTCCTCGAGGACGGGTAAAATGTCTGAGTTTTCTCGAGACCTGTGTTAGATTATTAGAATAATTTACTAAAATATAAAATCCAAAAGAAGTAGCTTGAAAAATCTTTTTTTTTATTCACATTCAAAAATTTATCAATAATTGATTTTGTAAATAAATAAAATTTTAATTATGAATTACTGTTTTTCTTAGATCTAAATAACTGCCAATAAGTGCAAATATGAAAAATTGTTGTTTGGAAGTGAGCCGTACTTGCCAAAGGATACACGTGTCCTTACCTTCGCCTATCTATATCTATTTCATAACCATAAATTATTAAAATTCTAAATATAATATTTTTCACTTATTTCGACCTAAATTAATACAAGATACGGAAAAAAAATTTGAAAAATGTGTTTAATGAAAATTCTGTGTCAAAAAGTAAATTGTGTACAACAAATTGAGACTATGATCATTATGATGAGAGTAGAGAGAGTAAAGAAAACGTCGTGCACTTAGGTAATCTATTTAAAACACTTGTTTTATTTCTTTGACACAGATGGAATTTTTCATAGACAAATAGATTCCATGATTGTAGTAATTTTCACATCTTATACACGTTATCTTACACTTGAGTTCACATAATCATTGTTCAACCGTAAATAAATAAAGAAGAAAGTTATTTTCTTCCCATTATTATTTTTTGGAGCAATTCTTTTTTCTTCAAACACGCAAGAATATCATTTATTAACTTTTATGATTATCTCGAGTACCATATCTATTTTAGAAAAGTGTTCTATTTATTAGTTGTCACGAATAATGAAGGGGATTTACTTTATCCTTATTTTAATTCTAAACTATTTAGAAATTCAGTTTTTTTCTCGATATTAGACGTAAGACTAACGAGATTACGTGTTTGTATTAAACGCTACGTTATAATATAAATAGCTGCCTTCGGGAGTCAGTTTTTCCACCCTCACGAACTTCTTACCATATGACTCCACGTAGGCCTTTTTGCTTTCGGTTGAATCGCTCTGAATGCTTGGTTCGCCTTCACGTACTCGGCGCTTTGCTGCTCCCTCTGGAGAATAAAAATTTTAAGCAGCAAATTTTTAAACAAAAATAGCGCGAAGGATTTTAAGAGCAAATAGGAGTTAGCTTGCTTGGAGAAATGACTTAAAATTTCGGCCTATTTTTTCTTTAAATACATAGATTTTTAGGAGAATAGGTCAATAGTTAAAAGATGAATATAAAAAGAACAGTTTGGTGCTAGAGTGCAAGTGAAACCACAACCTGCTAATTTGCTACTACTGTAATACGATGTTAAATAGAAACATGTTTTTCAATTGAAATATTTTTTTTATTTCCAATGTCCACCATGTGTATCAACATTTCGTCAATTCAGGTATTTACAGAGCAGATTTGTGAACCACTGTTTCAATGGCACCGTATTCAGTCGGTCAACGTGGCTCTCACAGTAAGGGCAGAGAATGAAAGAACATCTATGCCTTGTCCGCGATTCAAACCCAGAACCTTTCTGATGCAAGGCCCTGATCCCTACATAGTCCGGTCGGCATTTCATTTGAAATATGATATTGCGTTATAGTTGTAAGAAAAAAATAATTTGAGTAACACATCACTATGTAACAAATTTTCACCTTACTATGGTTCATCATGTGCATATAATATTTTTAACAGTGTAAATTTGTATCCGATGTTTTGTTAATAAAATTATATCCTATCTCACTTTTAGGATATAATTTTTTCCCTTTTTAGAGTGACGCATTTTATTGTCACTTTTTATTTATTTAAAATAATATTTTGTGTTTATTTTTTACACTTGATTATTTATTATGTTAAAAGTTCAACATATTTTTGTTTTCAGCTAATTCTAATATTTTTTTTTATATTCTAACAAAATAATATTCAACACAACTCTTGTCTTTTACAAATTCTGTTTATTTTAATGTTTGAAAATTATACATTTTTAACAGGTTTGGGTATGATTCAAGATTGTGGTCATGTTGATTTTTATCCCAACGGAGGAAAGAGACAGCCTGGTTGCAATCAAAACGTTGTTGGAGCCATAGGCAAGGAAGGCGGAGATCTTCTTCATGGTACGTTTATTGACATGCTATAAATTATTTTCGCATGAATGTTTTTAAAGCTTTTATTTATTAAGACTTCATGTTGATTTGCATGCAATTTAACTTAATTATTTTAAAATTATTTAATGATAATATTATTTAAAAGGTTCCTTTTATTTGTACATGTGTTTAATCTTCAGTATTTTATTTTCAAGTAATTTTGCAATTATGCAGTACCATGCAATAATGTACCCTATAGTACCATGTAATACTTATATGAAATCTGTATCATCTTCCAGTTTTTGTTTAAGAATGGTATATGTATGTGAATCCATGCAGTTTTTGTAATGTTTCCCATTTGGATATTTATTCTGAGTTTGAATGATTTAAATACTTTTGGATTTTTATATGGATTAAAGCCCTTGCAGATCAGTTTAGATTTTCCCACCAAAGTTTATCTGATTTTTTTTTTACTTGGGTACCTGCTAATTTTCATGTGTAAGGATTCGTATTATGTTTATTTGTACATTTCCTGTGTAGATTTGTAGGGGTTTCCCATCTAAGCCTATGAAGTTATCAAAAAACATTACAGGCTTTTTTTAAATTTGAGCAACTCATGTACATTTGTATAGGATAAGTGCATAAGATACTTACCAAACAAAAGAGGAAGAAAAAATTTCTAACATTTCCCCTTACCATCCAAAAGTAAAAACTGGAGACTATCCTTATGACCCCATGGCACCACCTAGTAGTGATTAATAGATGAGAAAAAAGAATGGCATCAGTCACTCAGAGCTATTAAAACTGTTTTGGAAATAAGGAAAGAAGATCATTTTGCATCCTTATCTTTAAAATTTTTCAGTGTAAAAGTAAACAAAATTACAATTTAATATATATATATATATATATATACCACCCCTGAGCTGTTAGCTAGGATTCGTTTTGAAATTTAGATTCTCCTAATGCATGCAATGCATTGTGTTATTATTCCCACAATGAAAAATAATTGTAAATGGTGTCCGTCTTAGGACAAAAACTTAGGAAAATCCCATTAGATTTAAAAATTTTCATGAGTGTTTTCTTATGTGTGCTAGATCTACATTTTGATCTTTAAGGGTGCTTTTCCGTGAATTCTGAGAAAATTTATTTCTATATTTTTATATTTTCGATATTTTTATAATTTCTAATCACTCTTCTTTAAACATTATTTAAAAGCAGATCTCAAAGAACATCGTTCAAATTCTTCTATAACATTATTTTGCCACACATCAAATACTTTTTATTAAACTGACCGATTTTATTTCAGGCATACGGCGTTTCATTGGTTGCAATCACATTCGTGCTTACGAGTTCTTTACCGAATCTGTAAATTCTGATTGTCCTTTCTATGGATATGTTTGTGACACGTATGATAATTTCTCAGTGGGCAAGTGTCCATGGGGTTGTGGACCTGACCAATCACTATGCGCACCTATGGGTCTTCGAGCTGATAAATGGAAAAAATTCAAAACAGAAGAATCTGTCAAGATGTTCTTACACACCAGTAATACTGAACCATTTTGTCGTAAGTTTGAAAAATGCACCATTATTTTAAAATTGTATAGCTTGATATTAGTATGCTCACTGTTTATCCATCAGATGGGGTTTATTGAAACACAGGAAAAAATATAACATTGAAACACTTAAAAAGTATAGCATTGAAACACTTGAAAAAAATATAGCATTGAAACACTTGAAAAAAATATAACATTGAAACAATGGAAAAGTATAGCATTGAAACACTTGAAAAAAATATAGCATAGAAACACTTGAAAAAATATAGCATTGAAGCAATGGAAAAAAATAGTTATACGTTTACATGATTCAAATACATTTTAGTTACAAATGTAGTTTAATAATTTTTCTTAATATTATTACTAAACTGATGTCAGAAATTTAGAAATGCATTGATTAAATTATTGAAAACTGATTATCGAATTATGTTGAACCATACTATCGTGCAAATAACTCCTTTTTAAACTTTATCACGCAATCTTACAAAAAAGCGGAAAATATGGTTGAATATCATACTATTGTGGACATGACTCAATGTGTGAAACATAGTTCAATATAACAAACACCTTATTAAGTTTGCATCAAATTTGCTCGAAAATATCATTCGATATATTGATATTACGCTTCAACTTCGAACCAATTTTTCGGGGAGAATTTAAGAATAATTTAATCCATGATTTTTCGTGTTGCTATGAATTTTATAAGATTGTTCTACATTTAGCACATTTTAAAAGATATATAAATTTTTTATTATATTAAGAGTGAAATATTTGAAATTTTAGTTTATAGTTTTTTACTCTTTGAACACTGAGTGTAATAAGTAAATAAACAGATTTTTGGTTGAGAAGATTAAAATGTCTATTTATAAAATGATAATACTATTAATTTTTTTTATTTGTTTATTTCTACAAATATGTTAAACATTGTGTTTAATTGTTTTGGAATAGTTTTCTAACATTAACTAAACTAAATTAAGTTGTTGCTTCTGGATAACAAAAATCGGGTGCGTAATTTTTTATAGCATTTAAATTTTGCATGCAACCGCAGAATATTTTAAACAATAAAAAAAGTATTAAATATAATACTAAACAGAGCGTATCAAAGTGCAGTTGCTATACCACGTATAATTTTGAACTTATTATCATATATTTGATTCCGTCATTAATTTAATTACAGCTGGACAATTCAATTATTTTAAAATATTTATTAAGTTCGATGTATATCTCTAAAGTGTATATAGTATGTATGGCTTAATTAAGCACTGATAGGTCTCCAAATCTAGTATTACATTTGAAATATTATCTTAAATGTATGTAACACTTATTATATAATAATAGTAAGATAATAAATGACGTTTTAGCTACGATAACTTTTTTAATGGTTGTATTAAAATAATCCTAATAACATAATTTACTAACATAATACCGTTTTTATGTTCTGATACTATAATATTATAATATTGTGATAGCCGGCCAGGTGGCCGAGCTGTTAGCGTGCCTGACTGCGGAGCCAGTGGCTGCGGGTTCGAATCCCGCTCTGGGCATGGATGTTTCTTTCTCTCTATCTGTGTTCTATGTCCTTTCTCCTTTGTGTGTGAATGAGACCCGCCCTATAAATGGGTCGTGGTAGTGTGACGTGGGCGACGCTGCTCCACCGCCGTGGCTTCGCCACAGGTGCCCACTGGGTAACGAAAAGAGAGTTAGCAGTTCTGGCACATTCTGTGGCCAATGGACAATAGTTCCAAGTGCCCGCCATTAAAAAAAAAAATAATATTGTGATATCGAATATTTTGAAGATCCATTTCGAATAGTTTCAATGATCACTATAAAAAAATTAAAATTGAATAAATAATTTAAGCTAAATGTTACTTTTTTCTCTTCAGTCTTAATATGAATGAATGAAGCAGATAATCTGCAAAATTCTTAAATTAATCATGTTAGGAATTTCGATAAATTTATTAACAACGTATTTAACAAGTTACAAAAGTTTATATTTTCTAAAATATTTAATGATTTATACAATTCTATACATATGGCTTTCATACATCCATAAAGCATTTATTCATCGATTTTCTAGGTTGCTTAATTCACTTACATGGGAGCAAATGACGTTTTTAAATTATGTAAGGAATATTGAAATTTGATGATGCTAAAGTTTTATTTTTATTGTTAGTGTTTAATTTATTAAGAATACTGACGAATACATGTATCTGAATTCCACAATTACTTATGATATGATAAACAGACTAAAAAACAAGAAAACCAGATTATTAAAATCAAATAGTAAGGACTATAAAAATATTTGGCGCAGTCTAGCAGAATAATAGCAGGGTATTTGTTTAACTTTGAAATTTACCAAAAGTACAAGCCACCTGATAAAGCCATCAAATGCAATAGACTACGATGAGCCGCAATGGCTAAGGGGATAGAGCGTTCACCTTCCAATGAGGTGAACCGGGATTCGATCCCGGCGATGGCTGGTCGATACGAATTCTGCATCAGGCTCGCACCAACCACAGTGCTGACATGAAATATCCTCAGTGGTAGACGGATCATGGGTTAGAGTCCCTTTGCCGTCAGTCTAACAGTGGGAGGTTCTCGTGGTTTTCCTCTCCATGTAACGCAAATACGAATTGGTTCCATCAAAAAGTCCTCCACGAAGGCAAATTTCTCCCACTGTCCAGGAGTTCCCTTTTCTTCTGGTTTGGGATCAAAATTACAAGGCTACGGAGTTGAACATTAGCAGTCGTAAACCCAAAAATTGGGTCGGCTGTTCAACGACGGTTATGAAATAAAATAAAATAGACTACGATGACTCGGCGATCTATATCATTCTAATAATACAAATTCAACAAAAAAGCTCACTTTTACTAATGCCATGAGAAACAGAAGAAGACCACCAATTAGGTGGCTTTGACTTAGTGAAGGACTTTCATATAGTAAATTAGGGAAACTGAAAGAGCCTTGATACGGNATATTATCTCCTAATTATGTAAGGAATATTGAAATTTGATGATGCTAAAGTTTTATTTTTATTGTTAGTGTTTAATTTATTAAGAATACTGACGAATACATGTATCTGAATTCCACAATTACTTATGATATGATAAACAGACTAAAAAACAAGAAAACCAGATTATTAAAATCAAATAGTAAGGACTATAAAAATATTTGGCGCAGTCTAGCAGAATAATAGCAGGGTATTTGTTTAACTTTGAAATTTACCAAAAGTACAAGCCACCTGATAAAGCCATCAAATGCAATAGACTACGATGAGCCGCAATGGCTAAGGGGATAGAGCGTTCACCTTCCAATGAGGTGAACCGGGATTCGATCCCGGCGATGGCTGGTCGATACGAATTCTGCATCAGGCTCGCACCAACCACAGTGCTGACATGAAATATCCTCAGTGGTAGACGGATCATGGGTTAGAGTCCCTTTGCCGTCAGTCTAACAGTGGGAGGTTCTCGTGGTTTTCCTCTCCATGTAACGCAAATACGAATTGGTTCCATCAAAAAGTCCTCCACGAAGGCAAATTTCTCCCACTGTCCAGGAGTTCCCTTTTCTTCTGGTTTGGGATCAAAATTACAAGGCTACGGAGTTGAACATTAGCAGTCGTAAACCCAAAAATTGGGTCGGCTGTTCAACGACGGTTATGAAATAAAATAAAATAGACTACGATGACTCGGCGATCTATATCATTCTAATAATACAAATTCAACAAAAAAGCTCACTTTTACTAATGCCATGAGAAACAGAAGAAGACCACCAATTAGGTGGCTTTGACTTAGTGAAGGACTTTCATATAGTAAATTAGGGAAACTGAAAGAGCCTTGATACGGAAAGTACCATATGGCAAAGACTACTTGGGATGGTCTTGGCCTTTAACAGGCTGTAATGTTTTGAAAGAAGAAGTACGAACAATACAAAGAAACAAACTTGCATATAAATAATTTCAGAATTCATGATATACTGATAAACATGAAAGCTTCAAATAATTCATCTTAGAACCTAAATTATGAAGAATGAATGTTATTTAATGTGATTGTTACTTTCCAGGCCATCATTACATCATTAACTTGCGATGTTCTCTGGGAGAAGAAGCCAGGATGCATACGACAGAGAAAGGCAGACTTTTTGTTCGATTAACAGGAACCAAAGCACAATCTCCTGTTTTAGAAGCGAAAAAAGAGTGAGTTCTTTCATTTTTATAGGTTACATTGGTTAAAACATTTTGAAGTATTCAATAAAATATAATAAAGTAAAATTTTTTCAAATTTTTCAAAAGGGAGAAAATGATTTATTTTTATCACATCTACGTTATTTTGTCAACAAAAAAAAAAAAAAAAAAAAAAAAAAAAAAAAAAAAAACGTAGGGCACATCGTTTGCAGAGAACATGGGGTGTATTTTAGCTGCTGAATATATTTTTCTAAAGCTTACACTCAGCCAGCTTTAGGGCTATAGATTTGTTTTTGAAGCTAAACTCCATCTCTAGCCGGGCTATATTAATTTCCTGACTTACACTTTAAAGAAGTCAATAATAATTTATGGGTTCACATTAAGATTATGTTTTGTAAGGCATAGGCAGTCAAGAATATGTTCTGGTGAAACCTGGAAGGCAGAGCACCCAAGACTGATCAGAAAATCTTTGTTTATAGCATGTTAAGGTCAAAGATCTAAAGTGTTCACTGCAGAATTGGGTTATAGCAGTTTATTCTTGCCTGCTACACCGAAGGGACAGAGAATCACCTGGGTTAAAACTGTTGTTAGTGGAGGGCACCTCAAAGCAGCCAGAGAATCAGAAGACTGAACAGCGTCACATTTTGCCAGGGTGTTGCAATCTTGTTGCCAGCTATGTTGACGTGCAAAGGAATCCATTACGTGTGAATCTCGCGAGAAGATAAAAGACGTTTAAGCTTGCCTATATTATCTCCTACCCCATACAAATGGGAAAGATACTCGGTGGTGCTTCGACTGTCAGTTAAACACCAGCTGCTACCCGAATCAGGAAATGAAAGTACTTCACTGAGGTTTATATCAATTCGCTCCATAAAGAAACATATAAACCATCTGGAATTTTCAATTTGACACCACAGGAATCGTTTTAGGACCTAATATAGATAAAACTACCAAAACAAGGCTTTTCATTCTTGCTGCCTTTCGTAGAATAGCATCTTCTGGAATATTATTAATTAATTCAAGAGTAAGTTGCCTTAGATATTCAGGAGGATATAAAGTCTTGTTAATGGGTTGAGAGATGCTGTCAGAAATACATTTTGGAAAGATCCAGAGAGGAGTCGATGCAAAATTTAAAGGATGCGGCTCAACAGAGTTGAAAATCAAAGTATCAGTGATTATCTGGGTGTAGGGGCTACTTTTTTTCAGTCTTTGATTGTTTCTCCAACACTTGATTGTTATCCCAACACTAACTGCAACAAAAACAGAAATGTATTTCTTTGATACTTTTCAATGAATAAAAATGTAATTTAAACATAGTTTGATGATAAATTTATTTTCAGGTACGTTCAATTTTTTCCGGGAGCAGCGATTGAGTTTTTGGTTTCCACAACTCAGATGGGACGACTTTTGAGGCTGGACCTTGAATGGCGTTCCACCGCATCCCTTCTCAACCCCCTCACCTGGAGATTGTTCAATGTCCCACAAGTTTATGTTCATGACGTGATTGTTACCCACCTAGAAACAGGGGAAAGGTAGTAATCTTTATTATTTATGTATTTTTTAAATTAAGATAAGTTTGAAAACAGGCTCGTTGCTTTCTGCTTAAGGAGCTTGAAGTATTTTTAGACTAAGTTTAAATATTAGATGTAAAGTTTGATAAAAGACCACACTACTATACACTACCTCACAAGACAAAAACTATAAAACAATGTTTTATACTTATGTCATCATTCCAACTGAAATAGTTAATTTGTACCTACAGCTGTGTCAAGCTGTTGCTCCCAAATCGTAGTTATTTTAAAATCTTTATTCGAAAATATTAGAACATTTTTTTTTATTATTGTTCTCAAGTAAGAATTGTTCGACGAATTTTGTAATTAATTTTGAAGAAATTAGTGAGAATTAACTTTTCGGTTTCTAAAAAGGAACGGTTAGCCATATGTTTTTTAATTTTTCGTTTGGCTTTGCATATCGTTACTTATTTTTGAGAAAATGGGAAATTGTTTTTATTTTAATTAATAAACGTTTAAACTACCATGGAGTGATTACGCATTCGATCTTGTTTAAAACCATCTCTCCTGAGCTTTTTATAGGTTTTCAATTTGTGCTTAGAGGAATTTTTAAACTTTTTTTTTTGAATTACAATTTTTTTGATGCTTTAAATTCTAAAAAGCAAAATATATCGAACATATTTGTTTGCTTGTTTATGTGACATTAATCGCACTGTTTTCATATTGTTTTCACCATATTAATAATCAACACAATGTTAATCCTGCTTTATTGGAATCTTCTTTTTCAGGGTAATATTTTGCGGAAAGGATGAAGCTTTAATACCTCATAAAATTAAAACAATTTTTGCCAACCAAAGCTGCTTGAGGCATCCAACACAAGCTGATGATAAAAAGAAAAAGAAAACAGCTGAATCTCCCCACAATTATCGTGAAGGAAGATATTTTTAGGAGAAAGAAACATTTTACTGCACAATCTTATTTATTTTATTTATTAAATGTGATGTAAAATAAATTATTTTAATACTTTTAGCATGCTTAGCAGTCGATTTCTTTGCACTTTTTGACGCATGACATACTAGTGACACTTATCGATATATTATTAGATTTTGCCACGGTTTCAATTTTTTTTTCTTTTAGAAAAAATATAAATTTCGTAATATTTGTGGAAAAGTAAAAAGTGAGTTTAAAAATGGTAGGAAATAATTTAAGAAACAAATTGCATATTTATAATTTCTTTCATATCGAAATCTATTTGTACATTAAAAATGTATATATATAGCTGTTAAGACTTTTCAACTAAATTCTTAAAATTAAAATGAAGTTGAAACGTTTAAAGTTTCCACCAGATTCATGAATCATTTGTTAGTACTTCTTAAATTTTTCCCTGTAATAATCACCCTGTAATAATTTGAAACAAATAAATTTGAATTATTAAAATATTATTAATAATAATTTTTAAAGCATACAATTTTTATATATTTCTAATTAATATATTATGTAAGTGTATTTTTACAATTACATATATAGGAATTAAAAATATTAGAATTTCGAGAAAGAAAAAACCTATCCTTTAATTAATCAAGTATAGTATATTACTTTTTGATAGACTTCTCAAAACACACTATTGTAAAATACAAAACTCTGAGAAAATGTTGTTTTGTGCATAAACAGGAAAAATGTGCAATTGCAAGCGGTAGTTGTCATTATTACTACTTTTTTTGAGGTAGGCAAAAAGGCATAAATTGTGTACTGACAAAGGCTAACTTGTTATTTTTTAAGAAAAGCCCTTCTGGAACCCATTTTTATTTTTCTTGCTCACTAACCAGTTTCCAATTTAACACTTTTTCACTTAACTGTTCTAATTGAAAAAAACAATTATTACTTAGATTTAATACATAAATTGATTATCGAGAAGTTAAATAATCGTAAGTAGGAAGAATTTTCTGAAAATTAAGCTACTTTATCAACACTTGCAGAGATACTTTTTCCTTAGCTAATCGATCTTACTTACATAATGAATTTTTGATTTGTCACAGCGAGTAAAACTATTTTTTTTTAATTGAAAAAAAACAACAACTTGATTTTCTACATTAAAACTTAAGTGCTGCTACTATGAAAGGAAGTATTTTTTGACGACCAGGCTATTATACTTTTTTCTGGGCACCTAAAGAAAAACCAAGTTTTTAAAAAGTCCAAGAAAGAAAAATCACAATGAGAGATATAACACTTAGCTGTTAATTCCACATACATATAAATAGTATTACACTGAAAATAAAATTATAGACAAAACTCTCAAAATATGGTTAAATTTATCGCGTTTTCTGGCTGTATAGGAATACCAAAAACAACTAAGGTAAATCCATGTTTCTCTTTTCTATTTTTTTTTCTTAAATAAAAGTTAATGTTGTAAAATTATTAAGTTTCTAAAATTATTAATTGTCAACTTCTTTAAATTATCCAGTATAATATTACCTTGCGCACATCCATTTTCGGGCCCATCCTTGGTAACTAAGAAATCAAACGCACTCCAGTACGGCAGTAAGAACACACTATAAAACAAAACTCCTCTATTTACGCTTTTACCTCAATTTGCGCCTCTGTTTTCATATTTAGTGATCTGGCAATCTTATTACGAAAATATTATAAATCATTATAGAAAAATTTCAGTTTCATGTTAGTTCATCTGAATTCGCTACTCGCTTTATAGATTTTGTTTTATATTTTATTCTGTTTTTTTCTTTATATTTTATTTTCTGTTTTAACGTGATATTTTTACTTAATGTGTTCTATTTTGTTTGTTGTAAATTTTTTGTGAATTTTTTTCGGTCTTCCCTCACACAATTGTATTGATATATTTAGCTTTGGCTATATTGATACAATATTAGAAAGCACTCCTATTTGCGGATTTAATCGTGTGAGCTGATGAAAAGTTTATATGTTTTATTTTCCGCATTTTTTATGAATTTTTTCTTCCTTTTTTCGAAATTTGCTTTTTTCCGGAATTTTATTATTTTATAAAATTTTTCTTGGCGAACAGAATTCGTAAGTAGAAAAAAATGTGAAGTAACCTGTAGAAAAATTGCCTACTCTCTTTTGTATAATACCGGAACTCGCCATTACGCGCCACGTGATAAACAGATTGCTCTTTCAAAATTAAAAATTGATTCCAAAATTATTTATTGTATCAACTCTGTTTAAATTTCTGATTATATTAAGGTAAAATTTAAATCTAATAATTCTGCTCGGTTACTATTGCAACTTTATTCATAAATTTATTTTCTTTCTTTTAATTCTTATATAATTTTAGGTAACTATAAAAGCTCTTTAAATGCATTTCGATTAAGAGATTAAATAGCAATAGTTCGAAAATTTAGTTCCAAAAATTGCTTTAGAATTTTGTATACTTTTTTTGGCTTTATTGGAATTGTACTCTAATATTTTTCTCAGTCATAAATAAAATTTATTAAAGTACATGTAACTAATAACATCAAATACAATTAATTTAATGTTTAATAATTCTTAAACAGTAAATAAACATCTCTATCATAGAATGTCCCATCATAAAATATCGTGCAGTTATTTTATAATATAATTAAAAACAACACTTTTCATTGTAAGTCTTCATCTTTAAATGATAATGAAACAGAAAATAGTATTAAAAAGGGATGATAAATTAAAATTATTGATAACTAACGTTAAATAGAGAATAAATAAGTAATTCGAGGATAAATAACGTAATAACTTTAATTAACTTAAAGCTTATGTCAGCCATTTTTTTTAATATTTACACTGAAAAAAAAAATATATGATTAAAACTACCAAAATATATTAAAATTTACCGTGTTCCTGGCTTTAAAGGAATATCAAAAAAAAAAAAAAAAAAAAAGAACCTCAGTATTTTTTACTTAAGTAGCTTTGATAATAATTTTGGTAAAATTCACAAAAAATATGGCTTTAAAATGTGTGATAAAATTTGATAAACGTAGTAAAATTCAATAATTTTATCATGATACCTTAGAGAATGGTATTGAAACTTTTATTATGTTAAATTTATTTCTTAGTTTAGTATTTTTAACTATAATGGTAATAAGAACTATAACTTTGAAAACCGGATTTTTCCAGTAAAGCGTTATCCAGTAAACGGAAATCTTACCCAATGTATGTTTATAACATTAATATTATTATTATTATAATTATTATACTACATTTAACATATATTAAGGTTTTTAAAAGCAGGATTATGCTACTTTTTCCCAGTAATATCATAATAATTCAGTACGGTTCACCAAGTGATCTTTCAAGAATTTTTCTTTCCGTGTAGGATTATATGTGAGTCTTCTGTATAATAATGATCAAAACTGCGCGACGACAATTATCCCTTCATGTTCTACAGAGAATTAAGAAGAAATACCTCGATCAATTACAGATTATTTTCAAAAAGTTTTTGAAACAAAAATGCTTATAATATCTTCTTACTTGCAATCAAAAAGTCCTCCAACTTTTCCACCTTACCGTTGCTAAGATAACTAATACAATCAATAAAAGGTATCTCAGCAACCAGTATTGCTTCAAATATACTATGACTTACTCTACAAGAAGTCAGGGATTATACAGTTTTATTCCAAAGCGTTTTTCTGCTGCTTAAAGGATAAATCAAATCTATTTTGTCGAAAAAATACCACAAATCTTTTGGGAAAGATGAACTTTGAGGGCAGGTGGCCCTTTAAAGCGACGGGAGTATCATGGGGTGCCATGCAAGGTTTAAATAAGGCAAAAGGCAAGTTTCTCAATGTTGGAGGTGACGATTATATGAAGAATTTAAAGGTACTGTTTGTCAAAGATTTTTTTTTCGAAAGTAAAAAGCACATTCTGTATTAATAAATACACAATGATTGTTAGAAATGCTTCAAAATATATATTAAAAATATAGTACAAAAAATATTAAGACATATTTGAGCATTTTATTTTGTATTTTTTTCAAAATATATGTTTGATAATCGTTTGGCGCAGATGGGACACCGGTGTCCAAATTTGGCATTTATTTAACGCTCTAATTACAAGCAAAATATGTTTTGGTGTTTTTTAAATTATATAAAACAATCTAATTGTTGCTAAAAAAATTGTTAGATTATCAGAATCATGCTGAATTATTTAGATTATATATTGAATTAAAATATGAAATTCGAAAAAAGTAGTTAAAATTTTTTTTTTCCATTCATATTCAAAACCTATCAATAATTGTTCTTCTACATTAAAGAAATTTCAGTGATGGATACTTGTTTCGGCCAGATCAAAATATCAGCAAATTTAAAAAAAAAAGATTGTTTGGAACTAAGTAATGTTTGGAAGATTTCACCTTTAGCATCAAACAAGACACCGGTGTTTCGTGCTGTATTTCATAATTCAGAAACATTAAAATGTAATATTTCCTCCCTATTTTGAGTTAAGTTATTTAAAAATAATGAAAAAAAGTATAAAATAAATATGTTTGATAGGAATTCCGCTTCAAAGGGTTACAGAAAAAAAACGAATGAAAATATTTTTATGTGTCATTTTGATTACAATAATTTACAATAATTTTACCCTGTAATGTAGTCACAAATTGTTTAAATTACTTCTTAAAAGTTTCTCTGGAACTACATTTATAATTAGCATATTACATGACACATGTTAATATGTTATGTAATATATATAGTAATAATTATTAGCATATAACATATAATTAACATACAAAAATAATTTTTCAAACTTACATATTATTTAAATAAAATATGATTATAGTGATTGCTAGAAAAAGTTTTGCTTCTTAAAATTCGCTAACACCAGATTCATTATGAAACATTTTAATTTTTATAGATTATTCAGTGTAATCTATTCTTAATTAGTATGAAATCTTTTCAGAAAAAAAGCAAAAAATCAGTAGTGAAAACATTGCATTTGGACAGTCGTTATGAATACATGACTTCTTTAGTATGTCACTGTAGTGGAATATCGAAGGAA